CTGCAAATTACAGTCTTCTGCCAGGGTATAGGCTAATGGTTTGGAGAGGGCGCACTTTAAATGCAAGGTCAACCAATGATTAGTGCCAGAACACCACATCATTGCTATCGATTGAGGAAATGAGCTCCCAAACCTCTTGTTTTGTGGAGATGAGATTACCTGCAAAGTGAGAAGGAAGAAGGGGATGAAAAGGCAAGAAGGTATCAGTGGGAAAACCAGCTCTGGTTTTGAATTTCTCTGAAGAAATGCTTAGTTTTAATTCTGCTGCCTTTTTTTTTTTTTTTTTTTTTTTTTTTTTTTTTTTTTTTTTTTTTTTTTTTTTTTTTTTATCTTTTGTGCAAGATAAAGAGAAGAGCTAGGGCAGGGATGCTGCTAATTTTGTCCAGGTCTGTCTTCTCTACCCACATGGATGTGTTGATGTGTGCAAGGCACCTGAGTGTCCCAGTTCTCCCAGTCGCTCGTGGATGCTCCTTGTTCCTTGCCTGCACCCACAGCCCTCGTGCCTGGGTCTGTGCATGGGGTGGGAGGGGGGTCCCTCTGGCTTCTTCCCAACTGCAGCAAGGGGATGAAAGGCAAGACCCAGGGATGTTTATTCCCTACTGCAGCTGTTTGTAATAGCTAGACAACCTTGTGCTGCTTCTGAAATCAGGCTCGATGGCAAAGTCAGAGAAAGCACAGTAACAAGGAAAAACAGCTCCCTAACACCATTTTCACTTGTTGACCTCCGTGCAGAGCTGCCTTCAGGCAGCCTCTTCCCATTAGCCTGGGGTCTTTTCTTCTCGGGAGAAAGGGCACTTTTTTCTAGCGAGCATATCCCTGGCTGTGCACCTTATGGCCAAGCTTTGCGCATCCTTGCGGAACATCGTGCCCTGGAGGTCTTTGGCAGCCCAGGCGAGGTGTCTTTCATAGCTGAGCAGCCTCTTGTTTGCCTTCTGTGCGGGTGAAGTATAAAATGCGTATGTAGCCCTAAGAGACTGAAGAAAATCTGGTGAGGGACTGCATTTGCTTTCTGAACCAGCCTGCAAACCTTGCCTGACAGAATGACCTCTTTGCTCACATTTTCCTGAGGCAGAAATGGCTGCATCAGGAAGGAACCCAAAGTTAGGAAATGCATGTGTTAGAAATATGGGTTTTTTTTTTCTCTTGTGATTGCTTTCTTCAAGGACCAGTTTTCAGGTTCTTCCTTATTTATGCAAAACCTATCACGAAATAGCAGCATCTCTGTACGCAGTGTGATGGATATGAAACCAATTCACCTGAAATTCTGTAATGGATTGAGAGCTTTCTGCTGCCTTTTTTTTTTTTTTTTTCCTCTCCTGCCTTTTTTAATGGACAGAATAATCTCTCTGTCATGTGCATCAGAGTCCCAGTTCATTCAAGGATGTATCCCAAATGCAGATGTTACGTAAATGTAAAATCTCTTTGCTCTGTCCTTTTTTTCTTCTCCTCGTTTCACAGTGCTTGGAATAAAAATAAAACCTATTTCCTGTCACTGAAGGAACAGCAGTAGAGTGGAATTGTGTTTGTGGAACTAATTTGCTCACCTGTGTTACTCTGAATTGGCTGCTTAGTAAACTAACCAGCAAGCTTGGCCTACATGTGCTGCTCTTGATTTTTCTATTCTCTCCATTTCTCATGCTTATAAGCATTCTTACCTGTTACATTACCAAGCTTGAAGGAGTCTTAAACTAGTTACAGAGCTTCTGCAAACACTTTAGACATCAATGGTAAGTGAACCTAAATCTGACAAATATCAGATATTAAAATACCAGCTTTCAAAACAACTTTTTCAAGGGAACGTTACACAAAGTATACCTGCAAATTATATGTTTTGGCTGGCAGCAGCAAGTGACTTCTTAAGCATTTCAGAATGTATTCTGATGGCAAACATTTGGACTTGCAGCTGAAGTAAAAATTTCTGCGTTCGTCCGTAGGATTTCTGGATTCAGCTTTTATAGAAACTCCCCAGGATTTCTAGAAATTTCACAGGATTATCTGTTATCCCAACCCACATCTGTTCACGGTACTGAGATGAGAAGCAGCAGCTCCATTTGGCTTGTTGTTGCCATTATCTCAAGCACTAGAGTCAAGTACCAATCTTGGTTATTTTTCTCTGTATTTGTACTTGCATGCCTGCTGGGCTCGAGTGCCTGTTTCTGCTGCGTGGACACATGGTGTTCTGACCTGGTGTTTAATTTGTTGGAACATGGGATGAAAGTGTTTTGCCAGGGTAGTGTATGCTACATAATATTTGCTAACAAGTTCCTTGATTTCCTTTCTTATATTAAATAAATATATGAGTAAGGAGTGGGGGGAAGCAGCTTGAGCACACAGCAAACCCCAAAAGCCTTAGTGTATCCTGGATTTGGCCTGCCCAGGTATTTATATAACACACTATGCRTATTCTAAATATATTTTCCTCAAGGGGAATTCAGCTCAACCCCCTGATCCACAACTTAAAATTGGATCAGCAGATATTCCTGGTCCAGGCCTTGAAGGAGAAGTTCTGTGTGACACAGAGTACAAGGGTTTGGGTTTAAACTCTACAGCCATCCAGCTAGAGAGATTTTGGTAATGTATTAAGTCATTTTCTAGAGCTGTTGCCTGAATACTTTTTATGTTTCTCCTCTGCTGTTAGATTGAAGAGTGCTGAAGAGGGAAAAGGAAGTGGCCTACTAGCAGTATTCTGCATTTTTCCCTTTTTGGGTATCTATAGCTTTGCAAGMCAGTTTTCCTGGGGAGCACACAAAACGTTTTCTCCCTCAGGAAGGTGTAAAGAGTGTTCTGTGGGCAGAAAGCATTTCCTGCTGCAAGAATGCTTGAGATTTGGTGTTCTCTCTCACTCGCTCTTCTTTTTTCCCCCTCTATTGTAAGGAAGCAAAGCGACTCTTCTGTGGGAGTGCCTGGATGACAATTTGTGGAAGGGTTCTGTCTATGGGATCACTCTTCCTGAAGTGTTTTCCACCCACGGGGAGTGGAAGCCTCCTCTTTGCTGCCTGGGCTTTTGCAATCCACCCAGTTGCAGAGCGCTGCAAGCTCTGCTTTGTGCTGCTGAGGCCCACGGTGCTGTGTGATGGGGTAGGAGAAATGCTGCAGAAGTGGTCCTGCTCTCAGGCTTTCAAGGTTTATAAATATTATATATGTGTGTATATTATACATATGCTGTGATTTAAAAAGTACAGGTTAAGCTCCACTTGCTGTTGAGTGTTTCTTCTGTAGGGTGATTATGTTCTGTGTGCCTCCCACAGCAGCATCTGCTGTGGTAAATGCCACAGATCATAGTCATGAGTGGAGAATTTAGGCTCAGTATGAGTGCAGGACTGGCCATCGGGACCCTGGCGTGTCCTGAGCAGCTGTACTGACCCACACTAATATTAGGTACTGCCTTGTGGTATGACTGACCCAGATTCTACCTCAGGGCTCAACTTGTGACTGGGCTCTAAAGTCTCAAGGCTCCTTGCCCTAATTCAAGGACAGAATTTGGAAGCAGCGGATCTGTACTGACTCCAGAAGTGATGCCAGTCAGCTGGAAGCTGCACCCAAATACTTTAAAAAATCTCTTTTCTGTGTGTGAAAAAGGAGTGACCACTGCTTATTTAGCCTGAGGTATAGAGAAACTTGTACGAGACTTCGTCATTCTATGGATTAGGAAAGTCTCAGAAAATGAGGTTGACAAGGTTTTTTGTGGGTGGTGTTTTATTTTTATTATTATTCTTTTAGTGAAGCATGGGTAACAGCAGGTGGCAAGATGATGAAACGGGATTAGCTGAGCACTCCTCAAGTGCTRTTTCCTTCTCCTGGAACCTCCTAATGTATCTGTCTGTGGTTCCTGCTCTGATAGTTTGATTTATAGCTCTCTGGCTCACCTTCTCGTGCCTCTTGCTGTTCATCCTCACTGATGTCTCTGTAAGAATGGCTTCCTCCAACTGGAAGGTCTAAATTAGAGCACTCTCAGTGTAAACAGACCATAGTGCATTAYGAAGTAATGCATGCCAATAAAAATAAGTTCATACATTTGTGCTTGTAAGAAATAATGATACATTTCTCTTGCAGCAATTGTAAGAGATTCAGTGTCTTCATCCAGAGTCACCGGACTGATATTTCTCATGGCTTGGGTGTGTTTTCTGAACTTACTGTGGGAAAGAATCGAGAGCTTTAACCACAAAATGGACATGAGGAGTGAAACAGCCTAAGTAGCAGGAGCAATCTAAGTAGAGAGCTCAATTTTAAGCCTAATTTGAGCACTGATTGAGATGCTAATATCTGAAGTACTATGTGGAGTCTCTGCGATTAAAATTTTAGGAACAAAATATAATGATATGGCTAAAGTACACAGTAATTAAATAAATAAAGGCTTGCAGAATTGATGCAGGCAGTGCAGATTGGGTGGGTGGTGTCTGGCTTTGGTAGAGAAAATAGTAATGTGTCTTCATGGCTGTGCTGTGAGGAGCTCATCAGATATTTTATGGCACAGTACTATCATTTCAGTAAAATCCAGTTTAGGATTTCACCTGCTTGCAGTAATGTTTGTAGCTATAGCATTCATTCAGCCAAACCTCACTATGCCAGTCCAGCTTTTCTCTTCTATCGGAAAATAAGAACAGTTGGTCACTTAATCTTCTCATTTCTTTTTCAAATTCAGAGAGGAGCATTTGGATGTGATGGAAGTGAGGTGAAATATGGTGAAAAACTGACTTATAGGAAGTTTAAGTTAAGTGTAGCCCTGCAAATAGCTTAGCTCTGCTTTGACAGAGGCTTCTGCTTTTTTTCTGTTGCTCCCAGTTTTAGGATGAACTTCACCCATTTCCAGGGTGCGGGTGGTGTTTTGTCCCTGAGTCAGGTGGGACTGGTTTAAATTAGTGTCACTCTAACAGTTAGCTACCCATGGCTGCTCATTTTTCCTCTAAACATGGATAAGTTTTAAACCTGGTTAACCTGGGAATCCCAAATCTGTTTGGCTTCTGTTAAAAGGACTCCTCTCTCTCCTTTTTTTTTTGCAGGCATGGTGCAGAAACTTGACCAGAAGCTGCCTGTAGCCAATGAATACCTGCTGCTTTCGGGCGGCGTGCGGGAAGGTGTGGTGGACATTGACCTCGATGAGCTGAATGTTTATGCGCGAGGGACAGACTATGACATGGACTTCACCCTGCTGGTGCCCGCGCTGAAGCTGCACGATCGCAACCAACCGGTCACRCTGGACATGCGCCACTCGGCTTTGTGCCACTCCTGGCTGAGCCTTCGGCTCTTTGACGAAGGAACCATCAGCAAGTGGAAGGACTGTTGCACCATCGTGGACCATATCAACGGAGCTACGAATTATTTCTTCTCGCCAACAAAAGTAGCAGACTGGTTCTATGACTCCATTAGCATTGTCCTGTCTGAGATCCAGAAAAAGCCTCAGCGAGGGATGCCTAAGGTGGAGAAGGTAGAGAAAAACGGGACTATCATATCTATCATTTTGGGAGTGGGCAGCAGCCGCATGCTGTATGACATTGTCCCTGTGGTGTCCTTCAAGGGTTGGCCAGCAGTGGCCCAGAGTTGGCTGATGGAGAACCACTTTTGGGATGGGAAGATCACAGAGGAGGAAGTCATAAGTGGGTTTTACTTAGTGCCTGCATGCTCCTACAAGGGGAAGAAGGACAATGAATGGAGGCTCTCATTTGCCAGAAGTGAAGTGCAGCTGAAAAAGTGCATCTCCAGCAGCCTCATGCAAGCCTATCAGGCCTGCAAAGCTATCATCATCAAACTGCTTTCCCGCCCCAAAGCCATTAGCCCCTATCATTTACGGAGCATGATGCTTTGGGCTTGCGACAGGCTACCAGCCAGCTACTTGTCTCAGGAGGATTACGCTGCTCATTTCCTCCTGGGTCTCATTGATGACCTCCAGCACTGCTTGGTCAACAAGATGTGCCCTAACTATTTTATCCCCCAGTGCAACATGCTGGAGCACCTCTCTGAAGAGACGGTCATGCTGCACGCGCGGAAGTTGTCCTCGGTGCGCTCAGACCCTGCCGAACACCTTCGAACTGCCATCGAACACGTCAAAGCGGCCAACCGGCTAACGCTGGAGCTCCAGCGGCGGGGCAGCACCACCAGCATCCCCTCCCCGCAGTCGGATGGAGGAGACACCAACCAGCCTGACGACCGATTAGCCAAAAAGTTGCAGCAGTTAGTGACTGAGAACCCGGGGAAGTCCATCTCGGTCTTCATCAACCCCGATGACGTCACGAGGCCCCACTTCAGAATCGACGATAAATTTTTCTGAGCTTTCCTCAATGTTTCTTTGGAGTTTTTGTTTTGTTTCAAAGAACTCTTACGGTGTGTAGGTTTTCTTGGTTGATTTTTCTTGATGACTCGGTCGCTTGTTTTTTACATATCCAGCATATATTGGATCTGTTGAGAACAATATGAATAAATTATAATTCCTGGTTCTGCAGGACAGTGCAGATTTTGAAACAGTATATTATGGTTTCCTACGCTGCGTTTGGTTTTTTAGCCCACCCAGCCCTATTGTCTGTGAGTAGCTTCTAAAGGAGAACAGATCCCATTAACACACATACCTGTGTTATATATAATTTTTTTTCAAGCTTCCATAATTTATGTATGTTTTTGGGCCAGTGAAGGGAGAACTCACCTTCCATTGCTTGGGAAATTCTCTTTTTCTTTCCGTGAGCTTCCGTCACCCTAAAGAAATGATGAGAGACTCTAGGCTGGAAAGCATTACTGGCAATTTGATGAGGCCAAACCCATGGGGCTGAAGCCCTGTTCATCTGTTCTTCACACTTCTCACAGTAGAGGAGAAAGTTGACTTTAGAGAAATGGTGATGCAGCTTTTGAGGGGAAGAGTTGTTTTTGTTTTAAACTACTTTTTGAATGTAATTGTTCATAATTGGACCTTGTACAGTCCAGAGAGATGTTTCTGCTGCTTTTCCGTGCAGAATAAGGTTATGGAATGTTAGTTTTAGTGTGTGTAATTATTCAAAGCCTTATTTAAATTCTATTAAAGAACATACCATTATAAATGTTAATTGCACTAATGAAATCTCTGCCATTACCTCAGCCCCACTGTTTGTGTTTCTTTCTCCATCAATTAGCTTCTGTTATTAGGTCCCAATATTGCAGATTGCTGGAGGCCCTTTGGATCTCATGGTTTCAGGTGACAATTACTTGATTGTCTTTTGTAAAAGACTCTTCCTTGTTAGCCCCATCCTGTGTGAGAAGCCAAATTTTGGCATTGGCATATTTCTTTGAGTGTTTATCGTGTGCTGCAGTGCATATTGCATTAATATGTATTGCATGTTGTTGAAACAGGTTTACCATTAGATAAGGATGTAGCGCTAAAGCAGTGGTATGTGCAAAGTGACCAGACCTAGAGCAAAGGAGCGATCTTGCTTCTGTGATGCATGTATTAGGCCTGATCCTATATGGCAATTGCCATTCCCTTGACCCCTGCGGTCTGACGTAGCTGGGACATGCGAGATCTTACCTAGGTCTCATATTTGCAGAAGTTGTGTTTGTATGTAAACTTGTAGTGCAACAGTAGCCTTGTTCTCTGCAAAACACAATCGCTTTCCTTTTGTGTGTAGGATAAGATGTRCGGTAACAAGAGTTAGTCTGAGCCAAAAATAACTCCAAGAGTTCAAGGATGGAGTGGCCTTTTGTGGCTGGCTGGCCAGTGACTGATATTTAGGCCTTAAATCAGCAGTTTGGGTTTACTGATTATCCCAGAGAAGCTGTTCTGATCCAAACTTGATGCATGTTGTAAAATGTGATTATTAGGGCAGGTTGAATTATTTTTTAAATATTTGACAGACAAATACGGCACATAGCTGGTAAATTCTGACAGTTGAAATAGTCTGAAAGTTGTGTATGAAAAAAAGGTGTCATGTTTTTAGCCCAGCCTTTCTGTTACAGAGACCAGGCTGGTGGAGCAACACAGGAGCTTTGGAAACTGCATTAGCTTGTCAGGTGGCAGGGATGTTTAAATACCTGAATTCGTGCCCAGSTGACTTCCTAAGTCACTTTGGCTTCTTCATCTCTTGGTCATATTTGAATCCTTCACTCCAGGGCTGCAGCTAGTGCATTCACATTTACTTGAATTTACAGATGTTCTCTTACACAAGCTGGAGGACAATTGGCTGGTGAGCAGGAGCCCCAGCACAGCTGCAGCTGGGGCCTGGGGAAGGATGTGCGTTGACTTCAGTGGAAGCAGAGCTGAGTCCTAATGATGTGGCTGTTGCCAAAGATGAGTGTCTGTTGAAACTTGTGTAAGCTGCAGGGAGAGACAGGAGAGCCGACTGGGAAGCGTCTCCAGAAGTGGCTGGAAAATGCCAATTCATTGAAATGTTTTGTGGGGTTTTTGTTTTGTTACGCTTCGTTTTTTTTCTCCCAAGCCCCTGGGACTTTCAGCGATTCATCCGTTGGGAAAAGAGTTGTGGCTCCTGGATGGTATTTCCCTTCACCATGCGAGGGAGAGGCGCTCAGCACCAAGCAGCAGCAGCAGCCCAGCAGGCAGAGCGGGAGCTTCCCGCTGCGAGTCCCCGCGTCCGTGCCGGAGCTCCCGACCTGCGCAGGAAACAGCTCGGCCTTCCTTGTGCCACTTCAGCATCCTGGTGACCAGCAGCTTGGCTAGGCCAGGTCAAGCTCTGCTGTGTGCTCCTTTTCTTTTTGTTGTTTTTAATTAAAAAAATGTTTTGAAAAGTATCTATCTTGTTCTTAATGCGTTATGAGGAAAATGTGTGTGTATTTGGGGAGAGAGGAGGTTTGGCGCTTTCTCAGCCTCCCAGGTAACTCTGAGAACACTTAYGGTCCTTTGACTGGACCCTTGGTCTTCCAAGGAAGCAGAATCCTAAACTCCAGGTGGTTTTGAATCTGTCTGGCATTTGCTGATTCACACACTTCATGGTTCAACTTAGAGGCAGGTTGCTGACTCAGAGAGATGGGGTCTGCTTTTTACACTGGAGAACACCAAAGGCTTTATTTCCACCTCCTTTTACCATTCCCTCTCGCCTTGCAGTGTGTGCTAGGACAGACTTTCAAATTGAGTAGGTATCAAATGGGCTTTCAAAGCACTTGAGACAGTTTTGGTACCAAAGGCCTTTAGATTTCTCACTCTACCTTGCACCTTTCAAGGGGAATGTAATGCTTTCCCTATTGGAGGGGTTCTTAAAAATCCTTCACACAAGTATTTCAGACTACCTTTCCCACAGGGGTTAAAAGGGAAGACTTAAGTGATTTAGCAAACATATAACGTAGAGGGGTTTTGCTTTAACTAGCAATGAAGTGTCTTTCCTTCAGACTCCCTCCCCACTGATGTCAAAGGGAGAGAGGTCAGTGCTGTCAGCTCAACTCTCAATGGGACTTCTGTTCTGCACACGCTGCCAGATGCGGTAACAYGAGGAAAGAAGAAAGGATTTTTTGCTTTTACCCATTATCTGCCTCCATGCTGGCTTCTGTCTCTTGGCAGCAATGTTGAAAAAGGATGGGGACAATTAGTGGGAGACTGGCCATGTAAGTAACTAAGTAGGAGGCCTCATATAGTTGTCTGTATAACACTGCCCTCCTACACTGCTCCAGCGGAGGGGAGATCCAGCCAAGAAGCTCRTGCTGCAAGGCATCAAAAATGAAGAAGTGCCCTTTAGAAATTCCTCTCTCGTTCCTCAGTGTGCCCCTGTGGGTGTCCCTCTTGTCCTACTCTTGGGACAAGCTTTTACCTTTGCTCTTTCCCTAGGGCTTCTGGCCACTAGCACGTCAGAAAAGCACCTGCTTTGACCAGTTCCGTGGAGCTTCTTTTGGGAGACCCAGCCCTGCTTGGGAGAACGTGTGAATTGCTGCAGAACTGATGGAAATGCCAGTCAAGAGAGGGATATTTACCTCTCAGCTGTACTGGTGAGAGGGCATGTTCCGGTAGTTGAAGGAGAAGCAAACAACAAACAGCTCTGTAGCTTTGTGAAAGCCTGCAGAGTTTCTGCTCCTTCAAGCACATTATGTGTTGCCTTGATCACTTCTGGCTGGCTGTGATAAATAGGTTTCTGCCCTTTTTTTCCATTACTCCAGCACAGAGAAATGCTTTTGCTGCAGCCAGAAAACTGCAACTGAGCATTAACAGTCGCTCATTGAAGGAGACCGCGCAAAATGTTGGAGAGCGTTTCACCATTCAATACCTTATGCAAGAGCTGGTTCCAAAAAGCCATTGGAAGAACTGTTCTTTAGCGATCTGTTTTGTCTGCTGTCCTCATATCACTCTGAGAAATTGCTTTTAATTTTGGTCTAAGTTCTTTGACTTTGGCCAACTGCCTTGTTCCAGTGGRAGTAACCTTGATACAAGATTTGGCAGTTCAGGGCTTGACAGGGCATCTAAATTCTGTGCCTTTCTACTCTTTGGTCTYTTTTCTGAGGGTAATAATAACTGCTACAAATACACAGAGTGACTAAGGCATTGAAAAACAGCAGTCACTCCTGATATCTGTGGCTTTACCCGTTCTTGGCAAAGGTAGTGGGTCATGAGAAGTAATCCACAGGTCCCAGTTTGGGAGCAGTCTACAGAGAAATTGCTTTCACCCAACATGTCCCCTTACTGCTATTTGCCTACCATGCACCAGTGACAAGCAGCCTGTGATCTATTAATTAAATTGTCTGGTAGATCTGGGGACAGAAGTAAAAACAATTGATAATGCCTTAGGACTCCTTTGTATTCCTGAAGGTTGCACAGCTGTCCTCCGTGGCAGGTGTAAAGGTGCTTAAATCCAGCTCTACTCAGTCATGTTATCTAAAAACATTTCTGTACACTTTTTTCTTTGCTGGAAACATTTTGCTGTTTTGTGTTGTATTAAAGCAAGTGTGTTTAAAAGGTCACTGGGTAACTGAGTGCAATGATGTTCATATTCTCTTGGCATTGCTCAGTGATTAAAAATATTCAGCATGCAAATAGCCTACTTTTAACTGCAGCAAGTACATCATCTTCCTCCTGCCAGCCTTGCTTGGGGTGAACTGATGGACTCTTAACATCATCACATAACTTACAAAGTTACTTCCATCCAATCGCTCCATTGAGCTCTCCAGTAATGAAAATAACCAGAAGGGGCAAAGGCTAAAGAAGGAGAAAGGGGTCAWAAACAAAACAAAAAAGAAAWACATACAGATTTTAAGAAGTTGCTGTGCCAAGGACCTCTTGCKGACACATTTTGTGTTTGGAGAAATTCAGCTTTATATTTAGCACACTTTGGCGTTTGAGAACTCTCTGTCAAATGCATATTGATTTATTTCCTTTGAATGTTTTTAGAATAGTAATAAAATTGTCCTCCATCCCTCCCCCCACTTCAGGTCTATTATTTTAGGGCTGTTCTGAAGAACTATTGTGTTTTCCAATTATTACTGTTCCTGGCTCAGCACCATGCTTCTGGCTGAGAAAAGCTGAATGTAGGGGCTTTGGGGGGTTGTTTTTGTCTCACTGACCTTACGAGGTAGAGGAACACATGGTCATTCACTCTCCAGAYAGCTGATTTGTTCAGCAGAAAGATGTGAACAAATATGGGGGGCATCATCTCTGCTGCTGATACAAATGGAGCAACAGAGGAAATGGTTAGAGAAGATCTGCAGAAGCAGTGTGAGTCAATCAGTTCAAGGCAAATCTAGAGACTGAACCCAATGGTCCTCAATCCTTCCAGCCCATTCTGACTATCGAACTGATAGGCTTCTCAGGGCATATGTCATCAGGTTAGTTCTTTACTTGTTCTGTCTCCAAGGCATGGCTCTGTTCCAAATCAAAACCTATGCTGAAGGCACTCRGTGTGCAGCCCAGCCCAGCGGGAGAAACTGCGAGCAACTGCTGCTGATCTAGTCCCTTCTGCCTGTTTCTCTGTCGGACCATGTCTGTGCCACACAGGAACACTGAAAGGACCACAAGGATCTTGAAATAAACTCTCTAGAGGTGTTCTGCTACACAGTAATGAACTCGTAGAGAAAGGAAGTGCTGCTGAAATGAGTTGGTTAAATGCCTTGCCATATTTTGTTATAATCACCTAGGTCAACCTCATCATCTCTGTCGTCTGTCTCTCCAGTTTATTTGCAGAGAGCCAAGCATCGTGGTGACTGTGCAAAAAAGGAARAGAAATGCAAGTTCATGTGAGTTGGTGTAAATAATTCAGAGGAACTGGCTTGCTGTTCTGATGCACGGTTCTACCCAGGGTGCAGTGGCACGGCATGCACAGAAATCGTGCTCTCCCAAGTAAAAGCTATGGAGACAACTTAGTGAATCCTCCAGCCTGTTAACTTCCCAGTACATTTAGCAGCCCAGAACTCAGCGGTGTGACTGTCAAGGCSAGGAGCGGGACACAAGTTACCMGTGTGGTGTAGGTACATGGACAGCRGGTACTTCTCCAGGCTGGAGAGCTCTTCATCTGCTGCTGCTCGAGCCTGCGTGCCCAGGTAGCTGATGCTGCATTAGTGCAAACAGCTGTGAAACTCAGTTTAACGTGTCAGTGCTTGAGTTATTTCTGAACAGCAGCTCAGGAAATAAATTGCCACAAAAATGAATATTTAGTGTGCTTTCTGGAGAAGAGAGATGTGATCAAAATAAGCCTACAGTCTGCTTTTCCTCTTTATGGCTTGCTATACTCTGTGGTTGAAAAGATTCCGTATCTTATCCTGATGTCACTGGGAACAGGAGTAGACTCATGTATGCTCCAGCTGATGGGTTTTTAACAAAGGCCACATATTTATGAGTGAATTATGCTAAATGCTGAAACATAATAGACACGGGTGTTCTTCCAGGCCGGGCTCCCCTCAGAGAACATGGCCTATTACACGTCCTGTTTCCTAGCCCAGACAAGTGTATTTGTTAATGAATAAAAGAAATCTGTCCTGGGAAGACAGCAAGCAGAGCGCTGTAGAGCAGACAAGGGCGCCTAGCTGTAGTCTTCACATCCTTCATACATTCCTGAAGTTTTATTTTTCTGCTCCTCCTCTGTAGTCCTCCTCCTGTCTTGTGGGGAGTTGAGTGAGTTTGGACCTTACTGCAGGAGACAAGACAGGCTACAGGAAGCCAAGATTTGTGAACAACTGAGCAATGCTGGAGAAGTGCAAACCAGGGTAATGAAAACCTGCAGTCAGCTTCAGAGCTGCATGGTGCTAATGGGAGCGTTTGGATTTCTTGGGAAGCAGGCTGTGCTTTGAATGCTGAGAGTCAGCTCAAATCCTGTCACTTCAAGACAAAGTGCACTTCTCCTGCCTACCCTCTCTAATGTAAGTCCACACAACCATGAA